TTAAAACTACAAAGATAGAAAAAAGAGTGCAATTTTTTATTATGCATATTATGGCAATTAATTAAAAAAAAATCTTTATACTTAAATAATTTATGATTAAATTAATAGTATACATATATTCCCTGCATTTTTGCAATAAAATCTCTAAATTATAAGGAATCAAAGTATTCAGAACACAATCCGGCGTAAAACGCATTTGTGAAATAACGTGTAAACCGCGAGACAAGGATTCTTAGTTAGTTAGACAATGTTTCCGTAACTAAGTCAAGCCAGAGGTCACAATAATAACTTTAAACTCACTTTGTACGGCGCGATTGCATCGAAAACGAGATTCTCCTTTTCGCCTCATGGCCATTTGTATCACGACCAGGTAATTTAACAAAAAGTTGCTCGCGATATTTCGTTATTACGTTTAAGTAACGACGAGACACTGAATCTCTGAGAAGTTTCAATGGAGCGCCCTATACATGAGCGTTTTTTCATCAAAGTCCACGTTCAGTTCCTCAATTCAAGCGTTATCTCAAAGTACATATAACACGTATAAATCCGTCTGCCATAACTTCTTTGATATTCTCGGAAGACGGCCACGCGCGGCCGGTCGCCGTCGTTCAATAATCCTTATTTCTGCTGGGAAAAAGTTTCCGCAAAGAAGCTGGTAAGCATTGCGCGTGTTCTTCCTTCCTCGCAAATTACAAATTAAATTACAGCACTTTCGTAGGAAGCGCAAACTTCCCGAAAACTCATGGCTGCGAATCACTTACAGTAATCTGCGTCTTATACTTGCGCGATCGCTTCGTGATGAAAAAAAAAATCCTCTCGGCATATTTTGTTCGCGCGATGCTTTTCCTCCTCGCGTTCCACAAGCAGCATTCTTCTTACTTTTCTTCTTCCTAAACATCCCATATTTACTCGTAGTTTCCGCGGCGAAAGCTGCGTTGTGCTACTACTGCTTTCGAAAGTCATTTATAAGCATCGCGATATCCACCCACCTACTCGTCATACCGATCGTTACATCCGCCAATCATCGGTGTGTTTCGCGAGACCTTATTTCATACGCGAAAATATAGGACGGGCAGAGAGATCCGGCAGGATAACCACCGCCTCCGGTGTGTTGGCTCACATGATTGATGAAATTTGTGTAGGAGCAACAGGGCATACTTGCCGTACTCTCCGGTAACGGAACGCTCTTGATTGATAGAGGGTGTTCGAATTTGAAATTCCGCCCTATACGGAAAGTTGACCGCCCACTCCTGTCTCTCTCTCTCTATCACCCTTTCTCTTGTTCTCGCCTGATGTTTTTCTGCGTAGCACGCGAACGTACTAGACACGCACACGTTCACGTTGAACAACTTTTGCGTTTCCGCGTCCCACGACACGACTGCATGCGGTAGGAGGTTCCTTCCGGCACGGTACACGCGTGTCGGCCAAAGGACACACTCGTCTCATTCGTCCATCATTCATTCAGGCTAAAAGCCGCTCCAGTCCGTATACAAGCTCCTCACTTTCCCCGTATCCTCGTTGGCTCAGTTATTTACAAGTCAAATGTGGTCGATCGATGTGACTAGGATCGAGGGGACAGGACCATCGTCGTGAAGCCGCTTCGCCATCGGAAGCAGCGAGACGGAACAGCGGGATGGATATACGAATCGAAGCTCAACGCATACGCGATGTCTCACACGAGTATCATCTTTTAGCGTTTCTCTCGTCGTTTTGTCCGTGTAATATTAACTCTCCGCGCACGTACGTGCCTTTCCTTCGGAATATATTTCATAGAAGAGAGAGAAAACGCTCTCCGTGTCTCTCATAAGCCGTACACATGCCGAGCAGCATGCCGCGGTTCAAAGAGCACTGTTTCAGCTTCAGATCTAAAGTGACACGTGGGCAAAGGGAAAAGGGGCTGAAATGTGCATGGCAGTTTTAGAAGGTAATACTCTCAGTACGTATGTGTGTTGTATTTTGACCGCGTGGCAGGCAGGACCGATCGAGCTCGAAAGAACTGTACTTTGTCGCGGCCACGACAATCAAATCTCGGGGCTATGGGGAAGTGTAGCGACCGCAGGCGTCCTTGCGGACAGAGACTTCAAAAAGTTCCGACGTCGCGCGAAAAAGGCGAATGTGTACGCGAAAAGTTGGCGGAAATCTACTACGGCGAGCACGGTTCCCAGCGGAACGGTTTTCCCGCTGGAATTCAGCCGCGATCTTTGGCGAATTTCTCTCTGTTTTCCCACGATGTTAATCCACAATGACGCATAGTTTGCTTTTGTACGCTTCGAAATGGACAAGTTACGCGATTTCAATTATTACACACACTGTGACTCGCTAACGATCCTCACCACGGTGTTCTCGAGTATTGAATCATGTTTAATTTTTAACTGTTTCGGTCTTTCGCGAACGTTCCAATTTCGCTCGACTGGATATATATATTGTTTCCTTACTCTAAAAGTGACACAACTGAACAAATTGACTTTCTTGGAAAAGAAGACAAAACTATTTTTCTACTTGACAGACAATTATTGACTAAAATTAACTAACTGGCAAGAAGACTACATCCGGCCTGTCTAATTTGAGTTCTGGAGCAAAAAAGTTCAACGCGACTAAGATTTCATCAACTGTAAAATATTGGTAAGTGTCGCTCGTTCGAAATCTTACCCATATTGAGTTTTTTTTTACATCGATAGCTTTACGTTTTGGCTCGTATTTATTAAAAATGACGTTTATTAAAAATAACTCAACATGTCTATGTGTATTCCCAATAGTTCGTATTTATCTCGCGCGATCAATTAAAGTAACTAGATTTAAAATAAAATTTCTTCTTCAAACTTTGGTCACCAAACTGTCTTAACTCTAAATGTTTCTGTAGATCTATCCTTTTTATTTATAAAAACGGTACAACTCAAAGTGTGTCACTCTTGTTGAAGATCTCTTTGAAAACCTTAAGAAGTACACAAGTGCTATTTGATGGATGAACTGTGAAGTTAATTCAGTTTTGATGATTAATAGAGTAATCGTTACCTAATTCTTTGTAATAACTTAAAAATAATATTGTATACGTTGTATCACTCTTGAATTAAAAGAACAATGTTCTTAACATAATCAAGTGTCATCTTTATCGTATTCATGTTATGACTTTTAAAAAAATGAAAACTTTTAAAAAGATTTTTTATTCGTAGCGATTTTGATGATTTTTTGGAAATATCTAAAAAATTAATTGAAACTGAATATAATTTTATAGATTTTCTAAATAATTATGTAGGAGACGCACAACCTGATTACTAGAAAGTCAAAACTTTTTGCAGCATGGCTCATCATAGTTATTTTTCTGCATAGTTATTTTTATGACCCAACAAATTTATTTAAAAAATCTGTATTTATAATTTTCATACTTCAACAAAATTATTCTTTCTGTATAATAACTTGAAAATTACATTTTCTGATACTTTAAAATAAATGGATGATATAAGTTTGAAGTGTATTTATCACGAAACGGAATTTAAGGAATAATATACATAAAATATACATCAGTAGTATACATATCAGTAGATATTTGTCTCTAATATCTAACTGAGGTAGGATTCTGTGGACCAATCACCCACAAATCAGAAAAACTATTTGATTCGAGAAACGAATATAGGCCTCGGACAAAAGAGGTCTATAGACGTCCTATGCTCCACATAAGGAGTTAAAAGGTGTCGTTATACATAAAATAGTTGGATTAAATGCACGAAATTAAAATCGCGTTCTAGTAAATCATTTCGAAATGTTGTTTCGAGATGTATAGATTCTTTCATCGGAATGTTGTAATTTATAGGCACTTTCCTCTTACCGAATTTCAACCGATAGGAAGATCCGGAATTGTACTCGCCACCCGTCGGCGGAAAGGCTAATTTGATGCATAATCTCGGACTCCACGGCGATAATAACAGGGGTGAAGCTTGTTTTAGTTGTTGTGCTGTATTAATTTAACTTCGGCGACGCGTCGACACGACGCCGGCATCGCAGAACGCGATGTTGTAATGGTATTAAGCTAAATTGCCAACAGTTCTCGGCAAGGTATTCCGTCCTGCTCTGAGATTAGCGGCGTTGACTAACAAAAATAAAGGAAAGACAGGCTCGTGGGAATGTAAGTAAGGGGGAGGAAGACAGAGTGGCCGGGGAAACGCGAAGAAAATCCCGGAGGTCTCCAAACTGCCTTAGACATAGCTAGACTTGTCCGATAACATGGAAAGTCGAGTTGAGTGTTGTTGTACATCGAGCCACAAAATAACTTTGCGCTATTCACGCAAGTGACAGATATTGTTGTAAAAAATAGCGGTAAATATAAAACTGTCAATATAGGCAATGATTCTTATTCCAAACCTCTTAAATTCGAAATTTTCTAATAGTTCGTGTTCGTGAATTATAGCAATTCTAATTCAAATCAAATCGAACTTTATCTGATTCGATTCGATTTCGCACATCTCTAGCAAATGGTTAGATAGAGAAGTGCTGGGAGCGCGGGAAAAACGACAAGTATATTTTATATGATGGCATTTATCATAGCGAAATCGTATATCGGGTAATTTGTTCAGGGACAGTCATGCACAATTATCTCAACGTACATTAACTAAAAGTGTCAAATAGCGTATGGGATATTTGTATGACATACAAATTATTCAAAATTATTAAGCACCGCGTATTATTTAGTAATAATTAATTCCGGCTGCGTATACGTAATATGATTATTCGATCGTGTAATTAAACAATGATCCACATCCGCGTTCAACTATCAATAATGGTGAATGTACGTAAAACGCGCAGCTAGTTGCCCGCGTTGATAAATATTGAACGGAATGCATTAGTTACATGTTGCATATTTCTCTCCGACGGAACATCCCAAAAGACGAAACTCCGCTTTCACATGCATGCAACTGCGCTCGGCTAAGTAAGTTCTGCGGTCGCAGTACCACAGTCACGTTCTAACGTCATCGCGCACGTTTCTGCTGTTAACAGGATTCCTCGAGATGGTACCGAGAACGGCGAGCCGGTGGCTGCTTTGTGTGGCGCTTATGGTCGCCCTGTGTCAAGGCCAGGAGGACTGGATGCAGTGCTCGTCGACGTGCAAGTGCAAATGGGTGTCCGGTAAGAAGACCGCCGAGTGTATTAAGCAGAACCTCACGCAGGTGCCAGGAGACCTTTCGCCTGAGATCCAGAGTCTCGATTTGACCGGCAATCGCATAACTCATCTCGTTCGCGATGCGTTTAGTCGCGTCAATCTGGTTAATCTGCATAAGCTGGCGTTGCGCGATTGCGGCATTGAATCGATTAACAGGGACGCTTTCAGCGACTTGAAGATCATCATCGAGATCGACTTGTCGGGCAATAATATTCGCAATCTACATCCAAGTGTCTTTTACGAAACTCAAAAGTTGCGAGTGCTGCTACTCGATCAGAACAAATTGAGGATGCTGGAGAACGGTCTGTTCTTCAATCTCACCTTCCTGCAGAAAGTCACGTTGTCCGACAATAGGTTGGAGCGGATCGAGGAGCAGGCGTTTCGCAATTTGCCAAACTTGCATTCCCTCGCGTTGGACGGGAATAATTTCAGCACCCTGCAACTGCAGAGCTTCGAGAGTCTGCCCAAGCTCGGCAGTCTCGAGCTCCAAAATAATCCATGGAACTGCAACTGCCATCTCAAAAAGTTCCGCGACTGGGCGATCCAGCGCAAATTGTACACACAGCCAACCACTTGCCAGCAACCGTCCCACATGATCGGCAAGATGTGGGACGAAGTTAGTAGTGATGATTTCGCGTGCAGACCGAAGATCAACAACATTGAGCCGTCAAACAAAATCGAGATAGCCAAAGGAGATGTGACAATGTCGTGCAGGGCAACGGGAATTCCACGTCCTGAGGTAATTGTATTTTCAAGCGTACACATGACAATATTCTAGTATTTTATAAATTGAAATCAAATAAGTGTCCTGATGATCTAAAGTTTGTAGTGAAAAAAAATGCGATTTAATATTAATCTTGCTATTTTATTTTAAAATTTTTGTATCATCGCACTATGAAACTTCACATTACATGTCTATTTCAGTTGTCATGGACGCATCGTAATCGCGTTTTAAGCAACGTCACAAAACGCATGAGCAACGACAGATCTTACATACTCTTATCGAACCATGAATGGTTAAATCTCACTGTCATCGATGTGCTGCCTTCCGACAAAGGTGACTACATTTGCCGCGCGAAGAGTCCAGGCGGCGAAGCGGAGAAAAATGTGACTCTGTCCGTAATGGGCGATGCTCTGGGCGGCAGGGAGAACTTCATCAGCTTGCCCCTCGCCATCGGACTGGGTGTCACCGCGTTGTGTCTGCTGATCGTCACAGTAGTACTCTGCGTGTGCTACTGTCGTCGTCGCCGTACCAGGCATGACGAGAAAGGCCTCGAAGCGGCGTCCCTAGAGCATCACGGTCTCGGCGAACAGGAGAAATCCCTGATTACGACCATTAACCCGGTCGTGAAACCCCCGAGGCGCTACGAGGCGCCTTCAGTGACATCGCATAGTACGGAGATGACGGAGCTGAATCGCACGTTGCTCGACAACGACTCGGTTTTCGGTCAGTACACAGCCTATATTACTAAACAGTGCGCGGCTAGGTGCTAGCGAGAAACTATCTTACATTAATTTCGATAAGCGATTTACCTCGAAACCGCGCATTCGCGGACATTCATTCAAGATCGACAGAATTCATCGGCGAATATGGCCCGATATGATTCCTTAACAAATCACGGAACATCGGTCATTTCGTTTGAGTAGAATTCTTCCTCCAAGCAGGAATGAAAACGACCTCTATATGTCGCTTATATATAATGTACAAACAGCGTGTATGCATGTGTGTGCGTGTAATTATAAATCGATTCGTTCCGTGCCGAGCGCGGACTATCATGCGAGAATTGTCCGACCAGGTGCCATCGATCTTAAGGTAAGAAGAGCCCGCCAAGTGGCAGTTAGGAGACTAATGAAGATCCGTTAGGGACGCTTATAATACATCAGGCACCCCTTAATATAACATTTGCGCTGCGAACACATTCGTCATCCGTGTTCGTCCATTGATATATCATCCTTTTAGGAATAATATTTTCTGTAGATCAGAACAGAGATTTGAATTTCTAGCTTCTAACGCGAGAACGTTGATTACGAGTTGCATAGTAAAATCGCTATAACATATAATTGTATTATAAGTAATGACGACAATAAGGTACGCTGAGCAACATGTGTGTGTAGACTTGCGTGTCGTTATTTAATGAAATATTTTTCGATGAAGTTACACGCAGAGACTCGTATGTGATAACACACAATCGAATTTCTATGAATCCGGAATACTGTAGAGAAAATATTAATATATGACTTTAACGTCATATTCGAATCTTGCAGCAAAATTCAGTCAACTTTACGAGTTTTAAGGAAACTTCAAAGCGACACGATGTAGGATCAAGCGTTCGCTTGACCGACGACACTCAGGAAAATGCGGTTACATTTTCCAGCTCAATTGACAAAGCGCTCTTCCAATTACGATCATATCGCGACCAATCCGATTAAGAGCATTCGTCCACTCTCGTTTGAAGGTAATATCAATATCGCAGAACGCGTACTAAAACATCCTGGCAATCTTCTCACTTGCGCGTACGTCTTTTTATACTCGCGGACCTCACGTGCGCGATTTTTTTTTCTTCCCGTTTTTTTTTCTCAACCTCACTTAGATTTTCTTTTTTAACGTTCGTCCTTCTCTTTTGTTCATGTTCTCGCAGCTGACGGTGTCGGGAGCGGTGTCGTCGGCGGGGTAGGCAGCGGCGTAGGCGACGACGAGAAGGAGCACGAACGAGCCACGCCGGAACTCGACGGGGGTGGCAACGGCGGCGGCATTGGCGGTGGCGGCGGCGGCGGCGGCGGCACATTGCCGCGCGGGAGCGCCGGTTACCACCACCGACAATATCCGCCGGACCTGCTGGCCTTCTCCGGCGGTCGCGGCGCATCGCCAACTAGCCAGGCGTCAACAGCGCCTGACAGCACGCGTCTGCCTAGTCAGCAAATGATAGTACCGGCGGCGGCGGCGGCGACAACGGTTGCGACGGCCTCATCGTACGGCTCACCGCCGTCAGGCCAGTATCACCCAGCCGCCTTCAAGACGTTGCCGCACAGCCGTAGCGCGACACCGTATGGTCTCGGACCATCATCGTCGTCGTCGTCACCGATGGCGCCGGTGTTACCTCGTCACGGTTACGTGACGATTCCGCGACGACCGCGAGCGCCTAGCTGGAGCAGTGCACCCCCAACGTCGCCCACCGACGCCCTCGAGCCTGTGTACGACAATCTAGGACTTCGCACTACGGCGGATGGCAGCTCGATGTTGTCGCTCAATAAAAGTCCGGAACCAGCAACCTCCATGAGGGGCCGGCCGCTTCCAGGCACGCCGGGGGGTTCGCACTACGGATCGATCCAACGTAGCACCCCGAATATCTTGACCAGTCATCCATTGGACCGAGTAGCGCCGGAAGGTGCAGCTGAATGGCCGCTTAAGTTGACGGACGAGAGCATGGACGGCGGTCATCTGTTACTCACGCAGCAGCAACAGCAGCAACAGGCAGCCACTAGCAACACCCTTGGTAGAAAAGTGCCGCCGAGACCGCCGCCAAAACCCAAGAAGAAATCCGCCAATGGACCGACGTTGTACGAGGACGAGGGTGAGGACGGCACGGAAGTATGATATCTTGAGCATCGTCCGCGATGAGAGCGACTGGTCGTAGTACGCCACGATGGGGCGTGCGTGACCACACTTACAATAAACCGGTAGTGCCTTTCGAGACGCGTGTCTCGCACGCGCGAGACTTCCACTCCGTTTAGCGAGTTGCAGTCTAGAGAATAAACAAAACGAGGAGACTCTTCTGGGAGACTTTAGGATCTACGGATGGACACGGGTGGATCGCCGAAATCGCTGACGATGATATTTTAGAGGAGGACACGCCGATCGGACATTCGTGTCACCTATATTCCCGTTCCTCAACTTTCCCTTCCTGTAAGTTATCTTGTAAGTTATTTATTGAACGTTACGGAGCACCCGGAGTATCCGAAACCAACAAACCGTGATCTGCATGAATTATTTTCCGAACGATCCGATCGTTCAAAGGATCCTTCCTTGTCCCTCGTCTCCTCCTATGTATCTTTTTCTCTTTTTTTTTTCCTTTTTTTTTTATCAGGTTCCTTTAGCGTTTTATTTGACGCTCGCCACGCGCCGTAAGGTAATAACGTGATAAATATGAATAAGACGGACATTGCTGCCGGTATTAGTCGATAAGGCGAAACCTATTCGCGTTTTGTGTGAAATTTACGCGAAGCACGAAGCAACTTGAAGTACTGAACGCGAATCATTCCGCGATACCAGTGAATTCGTCTTCTATTCGTGTTAAATTCCCGCAATGGGAAATCGCGATCGTAACGGTGCGATTCGCGTGTATAAATGGAAGTGTTAAGATTCAGGCAAGGCAACGTTTTGCACATGTTACATTTATGCGGTAAACATGATGAGAATTTAACATTGTTAAGAATTTATCTAGCTGTTATACACCTATCGCGTTTTCTTTTTGACATTGAAATTCCAACGTATGAAATCATAGCAAGACTCGTTGCATTCGCAAGCAACACGAACTCTCGTGCTAAGCTTACGCCGAAAATGGCGTAGTGATCTGTGTCCCTTCTCCTTCCGTAAGCGCATCGTTAGACCATACTCGTACCCGTAGAGGTATTCTCGTCTCAGCGATGTTTGTATCTTTTAAATCATCGACAGGTGCATGTTCGCTGTAATGATTACAGCGGCAAATTGATTATCGGTATCTCGCAAATATCGTTGATACTAGTCCCTTATAGCACAGAGTAGTGTATATCTTTTTTCGTAAGACGGAAACGTGAAAAGTGCAAATTTTTCACTTTTCATATTTCCGCTTTAACGAAAAAGTTATATAATAACTACTCAGAGCATTCCGGTAACATTGCAGCAATGTGGCAATGATACTACGATATTTCTGCGATAATGCTACAACGTTGCTAGAATTCTCTGTGCTGTATGGGATACGGAATGCCCTACCTATGTAACGGTGCCACTTTATATTACGTTAAATGGATAATAATCTATTACAGCGATTGTAAATCTATAATAGATGTAAGTGTTGCGATAACACTCGACGCGTGTTTAAAATTATAAAAACAGATATCGTATTGCAACGTACGATAAAATGGTGTACACTTGTACAGTATAAATATGTAAGTGACGTTTGTTGCTAATTGCACGAATACCATGATCTTTGAAATTCGTGTAATTTATTATCGTCAGAATGATGAACCGAATGGTCGAAAATAAATAACAGCGTGTTTTGTAAGCGAGACCAATTTGATGTCGCTGCCTGATTGGTTTTCGCTATCATCGTGCTAACCATGGATAACACCAAAAAAAGACCAGTTTATAATGTATATATGTACTCCTGTACCGATCCAAATTCACTTCGGAACTTCAAATTAATTGAACGTTACGCGCGATGCGTTCCAATTAGCAACAATTACAGCTTGATTGTTAACAACTGCGGCATATCGCGCATAATATCCGAATGCGCGCGTAAAAATTATTGACCAGCTCTCGTACGATTTCAAGTAATCAAAAGGACAACGCCGATTAACGTAACGCGGACGAATTTGTTAGACGGACATGATTTAAAAAGATGACGATATTACGACGTGTTGTAAACGCGAAGTGTGGAACAGAATTCATCGCGTCCCCATTTTGAGATACGTTCGATCGCTACAATTCTACCGTCGACGACAATATATCGTAAAGTAGAACGTCCATGCGAGCTATATATCATTGCAACCAGCGAACGCGTACGGACTTATGGTCCCGAATACCTGATGGCCGATAAATCGTCTCTCCTTGAAACTGGAAAACATGTGACTCGTCGAAGCGCGGAGCTTGTCACGCGCACAGCCGGCAACGCGTTTTTCTTTCGCGTTGAAGTTAATGCCTCTTCGAACTCATTCGAGTTCGCCTCTCTTTTTTCCTCCTCTTATCGCGATGCGATTTCCGTGATACGAGTACATACAAGTGGTCCCTCTTTGCGGTGCTTGCATTATCCTCGGCGCTGATGGTTAACGCTGTCGATTCGCCAGTTCCGTTCTTGCGCGAAACATCTGGCTGCGATACATCGTGATAAGGAGTGCTTTACGTTCGCTTACCACATACACATATACACATACACACATACACATGAGGAGCCGCCACGCCAGTTGGCGATATTTCACCGGAGGTAAGGGTAGGTAGAGAACGTTCTTTAACTGCGAATTTATCGTCGGCGAGCCATCCACTCTTTATGCTTTTGTTACCTTTTTTATCTGGGAAGATTAACGTTTCCCTTTCTCTAGCTTTAGCAGGGATTTCGGACGCGATTGTATACAACTTGTTGCGATTGCGCGCGGCCGCGGTTTCCGCGGCGAAGCGCCAAGTGATCGAGGAAACGTATTTCGAATGAGTCCCACGCGAACTTGCCTTACCGTTGAACGACGCTTGAATTCAAAGGGCTCTCGATCAATCCCATATACCCTTGTCTTCCGAACTCTGCGGCGACCCGGATCAGCGCTGTTCAGGTAAAACACAACGGATCCTGCTCTATAAATGCATCAATCGTGATATATATATTGGGAAGAGACACTTTATGTCGACTGTAAAAGCTCTTTTTTTTTTTTACCCACGAGAAGTTTCGATTTATTAAATACCTCGGTATTTCACGCGCGAACGCAGATTAAAATAAAGATTTCCTTAACCCTCCAAACGTCAGTCTACTGAATCTATTCGATTGTATCTCCGCTGACGATAGACCTATTGAAGAGAGCTACTCAATTGTAAATCTTTTTGTCAAAAATGTAAAACAATTAAATTTTCTTTATGTTACATATGCAAATGTGGATTATTTTTATTAAAATATATTTATCCAATAAACACCGATTAATAGTCTATATAATATTGATGTTTTTCACACTCAACAATACAAATATAATATTATACGTAATTGTTGAGTGAATTTATTATAATAGTTGCAGAATATGAAATTGTAATAATGATTTTAGTTAGTGTTTACAGAGTGGTTATTTATTTTTTACATCATTTTGTTTTCTTGAAATTAATTAATTTTTTTTTAATTTAAGATAAATAAGTCTCACAGATTCAGCAGTAATTGTTACTGATTTTGGTATAAATTTTGGAGGGTTAAGATAAACGCCGTTTAGAATAAAAAAAAAAAAAACATTTCAATGTATATTATTTTGCACACACACACATCCTGTGATTTTGTCGATCGAAGTCTCTCCTTTTAAGATGTTACATGTTATTCGGATCACGATACGAATATATAATATAATTTAATATTTTATTTTATTTCGCACCTCTTGATGATTCTTTGATTTTGAAATCGATTCATAGGACGCATAAAGTGCAACGATCGCCAAGAAGCATCCAAAACAACCGAGCTTTTCGTGCCCGGATTACGCCAAACAGTATTAAGCGCCCGATGGCTACGGCTCGAGCGCAAACTTGACAGCCGTCCGGGTGAGACACGGCGGAGAAAATAGCGGCGCGGTCGTGTCACCTCGATTTTTCGCCATGCGATCGACGAGCTCGACGACTTATTGCGGAGTGTTACCGTCTAACTCTCGTGCGAGAAAAATGTTCAGTCGCGATGCACCGCGACAACCTGAGAAACGTTTCCGGTTTCTTGTAGGCAAGTGCCAACCGATTTTTCCAACCACGACGATTTTTCTCTCTCCGTTTCTTCACTCCGAATCGTCGAATCAATGCACGCGGAACGCGTCGGTTCATTGTGTTTCTCTCTTCTTACACGTAGACTTGTACCGCTATTCCGCTCAACAGCCCGAACGTGTCGTGCAAATGAGAAGGAAATCGCGCTTTCGACGAGCGTATACGTGAAAAATCGAGCTCGCATGATCGGAGAACATCGGAGAACAGTATTTTAAGCGGCCTAGCAAAGTCGCGGCTCGCCCAGCGCGACCTCCGTGCCGTGCTATGTACATACACCCCCTCTATCTCTCTCTCTTTTCCCTTCTCTCAATTGCACCCTATCCGTACATGCTGTTCATATTGTAAATGATACACAAATGGAAACCCGCACGGCACGGGTCCGGTCGTTACCGACGCCTCGAGTATATTTTTGTAATTTTGTATTTTGCATCGCGCCTTTCTCCACGTTCCGACGTCTCACTCGGCCGATTATTCCGGAAGATCGATTTCCATTTGTCGATACCGCACCCTCGGATACATTCGATGGGGATAACGTGAGATCCACGCACGTTCCATGTAACACTGTGGGAAAGTGCTGCGCGCATCCGATAGTTAACGAAGCGAATGTACGTACGTCATACCCTGGCATCGGAGATAATTTATTGATTGTCGTCGCGTGTATTCTGAACTGCGATTGCGAAATCGCTTCACTTATGCGTCCTACTCCGCGAATATTCGGTACTGATCGATCACGGAACCGAATAATACCGATCTGGTTTATTTTTCCTACCGCACTTTTGTACGTAGCACTCTCTTTCTCTCGTTCTTATAACGAGAAACTCATTAATTCTTAACAACGAAGTAATCGAGATTTAAACAAGCTTTTATTTCTATTCGAGGAATAACCGAGGTCTTCAAATAAAACTCTTAAATATCACCGAAGCAATTGAACGTTCTATCTCTACTATTCTTTTTATTTTTATACATAGGATAAAATTTCAGTAGACTATTTTAAATTATTCTCGGTCTATTGAAGATATTCTCGTTTTCGTTTGTTGAAGAATTTTGTGTTCGACTGTAATTACATACGTTCCAACATATGTATTATATTTCTGTTTATTGATAGTGTAGAAAGGATATATTGCTAGAACTAATACATTATCGGGGACAAAATTAAAAACGCAATTTCACACGAATGAGAACCGACGTCATTAAACACTTTCATATCGTGATGTTATATCGGAAATTCTCAGCGCTCAATTACCTATCCAACTGCCAACTACAACGCAATGTCGTTTGCGTGATATTTCAAATATCGTGCACGCACACTCCTCGCTTCCAATACTCTTCGATTTGTACGTGCTCGTGAAGTGTTACAGTAATTTACATTAAAATAGGGTAATTCGACTAGTACAAGCAAGCTCATTTAGGCTCCCATTTATACGCACTACACAGAGAGGAGCTTGAACTCGGTCAAAATTTTTGTCGAAATTAATAGCGTTGGCGTCATTTCAACAATTTTAATATATTCGCAAATATCACGCATATCATTATCATTTATATGATTTTAATATCATTGGTTATTAAATTTTATTATAAATGCTTTTACAATTTAGATTGGTTGTATGACTTTAATGAAAATATTGATTATTAAAGTTATTAAATACCTTGAATAATTATAAAATCAATTTCGAATTTTTATTTTCTATTTTTTACGTATTATATAAATGTTTGCTCATATGGAAAATGATAAATACGAACGTATTAAATTTACGATATGACGCTGACGTTTCATTTTCTGCCAATGAGCGGTCAATCGAAGGTACCGTCCAACCAAGTAGATTGGTCCAATCTTCCGAGCAATTACAATATTTCTGGATCTTATTAAAACACTTTTTACAAGACGCGTGCGTTTTATAGAGCATAGTTCAGTGAAAATTCATACAGACTTGAAACGTATTACGCCAAATACTTAGCATTTTGCAATTATTACAACATTCTGTGGAATATAATTTTGTACTATGCAATTACAGCATATAAAATGGTTACGCATATTCTAGCAAGTTCTGACCGCAGTTTTGTTTCTTTAAATAGGAAGACATTTAGAAAAGACATAAATTCTTTAGATTATACGCATCTTTATATGCATTCCTGACACACAAGAACGTAGAAATGGTCAGAACAGATATTTCAGTTATTATTGTGAATTCCTTGTATCTGTAAGCTGGATTTTTTTTACACGTACATAAACAAATTTACATTATTTTTTATAACACATTAAGTATTCCGTAAATGACTTAATTATTCTCGTCTCTCTTAAGACTGACAATCTTAGGGTTAGGGCAATATCTTGGTTTTACGTACTTTATGAATAAATCTTTTCTCGTTATTTCTGTCGGTAGAATTGCATTTATATGAAACAATGCAGCCATCATGAATTTTATTTAAGTTAATTTTGATACGAAACATGTTACGTAAAATTGTTCCTTTTTAAGAGATATAATTTGTTAATCCACACATATATAATATTTGTATAGTAAAACTTATGTGTAAACAATTATTATTGATTAACATCGATCGAAGCCAACTGAACTGTGTTCGTTTGCTTCTATCTATTATTACTTGTTACAGAACAATCGTTGTTTAATTGATAAGCCCTTTGCCTAATGCATAAACAATTGTTAAAACTGCCTAATTGCCGCACCTAATGGCGCTAAATTTCAATGAAGGAAGAATGTAACGTGTACGTAAAATAACAAAGTATTGCAAAAAGACGTAAATACGTCGCTAAATATGCATAATAATTTTGTTGACACACATGTCGAACTTGACAATGTCGTGTAAGGATCACAACCAGCTAACTCGTGCTTAACGAGTGTTTCTCTGAATCGTCATGAATCACGAATCAAAAAGAAAAATACATACCATTTTATTGACGCAATTTCGTATCCCGGACGGAGAGTATTGTGAGATTGTGAATTAAGAAGATGGGAAAATGTTTTTATCGAGATATGTAAGTCGGAATGATAATGTGAATGTAAATGATTTATATATGCGTGTCGTATGTTGTAGATAATAATCTTAATCCGAAGTGTAACATCCGCGTTTTTGCCAGGTTCTACGTGCGGTAAAAATATCGATGATCGACGAAAAATTTTATTGTGTTAACGAAATATTTTTACCGTTATTCCTACTAATGTATTTTTAGTATTTGTATGTTTATTACTTTTATATTAATTTTCTATTACCATTATATATACTATGTTTTAATATTACTATAATTTTTAAGGTATTACTATGATTATTATATTTACGATATGTAGTTATTAATGTCGCTATTATTGTCGTCATTACTGTAATTATTTATAAAAAAGGATATTTTGCCTTGTAATGAACGTCTCAGTTTTCAATGGTTCAAATATAAACTTTCGGCCGAGATTATGGTTTATATGTATGTACAATGTATTAACATACTGGCGCTGTAAATATTATACATATTTTATAAATGAAATATTTAGTGTGATTGTAATATTACAATAATGTACTGAAAGCACCACTCTGTACACTCCACTAAATATATGGGTTAAATTTTAATAAATATTTCTCCCGATCCCAAATCTGATCCATTTTTACCTGTTTTTCAGATATTTCTGTTACCGTTATTTGGGACTGATAAATAAATAACGCAGGTTTTATTTAAAAGACGGTACATTTTTGTTAAGAAAATAGTTAAAATACACAGATTTTCATAATTCTAAAATTTGCAGTAAAAATATAATAAACTCTTATCAATATTATATATTTTTAAAAGTTAAAATTATATAATTTCTTAAATTTTCTCTTCTTTGGTCTCTTTCTTTAGTTTCGATAGTGCAGTCTCACCATATTTTGCCACCAGCTCTTCGACAAATGCATCCTTCAATTTTTTTAGACATCTGTAAAATAAGTAGAAATTCAAAAAAGATTATTGTACAACAAATCGACACCTTAGCTAGCTTCTTCATAACGTAATGTTACAAAATTCTAGCAAATTTTTTAATAAAAGCTATCCTATAGAATATAGCTATATGTTACATTACCTTCTATAAACAGTATCAGTTCTAAATTTGCCGATGTCTAAACTAGGTGCATGAGGTCGATGAATGATAAAAGTATCTGGTAAAACGATATATCTGTAAAATTTCAGTTTTCAATTTCAATCGTGCGCTATATTAGATTCGGGCAGATATTTCATTATTTAAATGAATAAAATTACTGCGTCTTACTTGTAATCTAACGCTGTTAAATGGGTCACGTAAGAAACTTTATTCCAACCAAATCCGACAAATCGGGTATCGTATCGCGGAGCTGTTTTTGAAACTATTATGTAAGGTTCGAAATCTGGCTCCCATGAAACCTACAACGATTCGTTTATGTATTCATTATTTTTCTTACATAGTCTGTATACTACAAAACATCTTTGGAGGAAAACAAACCACATAGAATATATATTTCTTATATATCGCTACAGGTCGCTAAATCTGAATTTGTAACGCGTTTTGCTCTATCATGTCCAGTTTTTTAGATAATCAAGGATGGAAATCTGTGTAACCATTATTGTGTTAACAGATAGGCTATTTACGTGAGTCGGAAATTTTATTTAACTTCAGAAATGGATATTTTAATATGGTTCGTGTTTCCCTCAAAACTTTTGTGGTTCTGTATTATTTATCTTTAACAAAGTATCTAATAATATATAGGGTGCTCCCAAACCCGGTATCACTGGCAATTTTTGTAATTACGGATCTCGCACGCACTTGGTAAGGCTCCGTACTGTTTCGCCAAAAGCTGTAATTTGTGGCAGCGTGTCCTTGTGTCCAGACATGATAACGGAACGTGTACAAGATACCGCGTTTAAGAAACTTCAGTAGTTCATCTTTGTTGGCGGGAAATGTAAACCTGTGTGTGTAAGGCGATTTTTCTTGATAAAATAATTTATTTCGATATTACGAAAACGATTAATTACCTATAGCGTTCAGTTTCAAATGCTGGCACGATTAGAGCTACTTTATCCGATTCGTTGATATTCAATCGGTTAATATAGTTCATGATATTTTCATATAACCCAAATTGCGGAAGGAAGTCAACGTCAAGTTGGAAAACGAATGGAGTTGGTACGTATGATATTGCAGTGTTTCTTAAATAGTTGATAGGATAAAGATCCTAAATGAAAAGTAATAATTCAGATAAAAAGAGAAATCGAGTATATTGAGTTTACATCTAGAAATATATAATACAACGTAACATAAATTTTATATTTAACAGCATATCATATTAAAAAATATAATTTTATGAAAAATATGTTATCTTTAATTCTTCATATATCCTGAAAATTATACAGTTTTGACCAAAAGTATAAAGCACTCTCACAAATTGGTGTAAACATTCTATATTTAACAAATGATAAATTAAAAGACAATTGTATTGAAAATAAAATAGTATTTATTTTCGTTACAATAATTTTAATATTTTACTGTTTTACAATTTTCTATAATAATTTTAATCTCTTGTTACGTTTTTCTTTGGATTTTATTATCGCCTTTCCCAAGAAAATGTAATAAATTGAAGGTGCTTTATACTCTTACGGCCACAAAAGCTATAATTAAAAAGTTGCATTCCTTTTACTCTGCGATGTTTTTTCTAAACTACAAATTTACTGTCGCTTTTTAGGAGCGCAAAAACAACGCACCCCGTCTTTGTACACAACATGATAAGCTATGTTCCTTCTCGTCCGCAAATCCATGGAGCCTCGCACAAAATCTAGGAAATTCTGAACCTCTGCATCGGTCAAGTAAAGCGCGACGCTTATAGTCCCCGGCCAGTGTTTCGATAACGCTTCCAACAACGGTATCCTTTCGATGCTACACTGAGTGACTAAAGCAACATCCGTTGGCGAATACACATTATATTCGTATTCGAGAAGAAAAGGATGCGTGCGATATAAAATGGTAGCGCCCTTCTCGAATTCTCGACACGGATTCGATTCGTTGTACTAAAAAACAAAAAACGCGCATGCAATGAGAGCCATTACAGTCATATTAATAAGAGAGAGTTGCTAAAAAGTGTACCACTTACTTATTAAATTATTTTTTATTATATTTCCCCCCCATTTGATACTGATTTGTATTCAAACAAATTTTGAAGATTGTAGCTTGATCTTTCAGGCATCTGTTATTATATATTTACTTTTCAGCTATAACAAATTAATTTAAATTCTTCTAACAGCGATAGAATTATTAATCTTGTATTTTTAATTATTTTCATTCATTTATTAAATTCGATATTAAAAAAAAAAAGAAGTATGCGCGATTTACAAGACCCACAGATACGACTTAGGCGACTGGTAAGCATTCAGCAACTTTCCCTTAAGGTATCAAGCAATTTTATAGACTCTCTCTCTCTCTCTCTCTCTCTCTCTCTCTCTCTCTCTCTCT